GATTCATCCATAAAGTGTTGGGATGGAGTGATGTCAATTTCTTGAGCTCTACGTGCTGCTTTCAACCAATCGTGGTAGCATATAAGCATCTCAAGAGATTCAGCGCTCAACCTCGTTCTGGTTTGTGTTAGAACATTGCCGGCCGAACTAAATTCTTGTTCCACGGCAACCGTTGAAACCGGCATTGATAGCACTTGCTTAGCCATCTTTGCTAAAACCGGGAACATTCTTTCTTTTCCCTTCCACCAGTTTAGTACGTCAAAATCATCATCTTCTTCAAAATCAACATCATAAGTTAAATACAAAGAAATCTCATTAATTGTGCTTTGTTGTGTAGCGGGAGTTGATTTTGTTTTTTTAATAAGATTGGCAAACGTAGATTTGAAAATTGATTTTCCTTTAGATGATGTTTGTGTCGGGGGAGGGGGCGCATTGCCATATTGTGCATGAAACTCATTGAATAATGCATAAAATATATCACTAACCTCGTTGTATTCTTTTTCGGATCAATTGGGTTGTCCTCATACATTGGCAATGGACCAAAAAAAGCAGCATAATAATAATTTAAACATTCTTCTAAAGAACCAAGTCTAAAACGAGGATCGAGAACAAATGCAATACCATAAATATGCGGAATATGTGAATAATATTTTAAAAACTTTTCCTTCATAAAACCAGCAAAATAATTCACATAATCAGCATTCTCAAAATTTGAAAAAGCACCGGCGAGATTAACAGCTTCACGAATAAATTGGTTTGAGGTAGGTTTATAAACATGACTAAAAGTTTCAGTTGCATTATTAAAATATATCAAAGCATTACAAATTTTTTCACAGGTGTCGATCTCAGCCGAGTTTATAATATAGTTATCATATTGTTTCATAAAAGCAGGAAAATGTTGTTTATATTTAAGAAGAACTCCAATTCACTTATAAGTACTATTCCAACGAATAGACAAATCTTTTGGAAAAGCCACATATCTCTCACCTCTTTCTATCAAATAATCATGCCATTTTTTCCTAAGGTGTCCATTACCCCAAATACGTCTAACCCCCCCCCCCCCCCCCCCCCCCCCCCCCTTGACTACCTCCAACGATGCTCCCAACGCTTTTAGACCATCTTGCACACATAAATTTAGAACATGACATGCACATCGTTGATGAAAAAATCTACCCATCAAAGAAGTAGAACCACACAATTCACGCAATCTAGGAATAGCAGCAGTATTATTAGTAGCATTATCAAAACCAATAGCAAACACCTTATCAATTAAATTATACTCAATTAAAATACGTTCAATCAAAATATAAATATGTTCAGCGGTGTGACGATCATTAAATTCACGGAAAGCAAGAACACGTTTATGCATATGCCAATCATTATCAATATAATGTACAGTCAGACCCAAATAATGTAAATTATGATAAGTATCCTCCCATATGTCAGAACATACAGTAACACGTCCATCAAAGTTTGCAAAATAATTTTGTAACCTTACCTTTTCCGCACCATAAAGCCTTGAAATTTCTTTCTTAACCGTTTTGCGACTATAACCTCTATATTGCGGATTTAAACAAGTTTGTGCATAATCACGAAAAGCAAGACTTTCAGAAAACAAATAAGGCAAATTTTCTTCAACAAGTAAGTTAGCCATACCTGTCAAATTTTGTGCATCATTGTATAAGAAATTACCAAAAGCTTGTTGATTATTTGCAAACCTCGATATTTGCGTTTGCTTCCCCGTTCCGCCGCCTAATTTTGCATACTCCACCGGGTGTTTGGACTTAAGGTGTCTTGTGGCGGATCCGTATCCGCCGGAAATCCCCAAGCTATAGTTTTTCTTGCACCAATTGCAAGTTGCGGTCCAATTCCCGGTGTTCGGGTCCTTCCACTTAGAAAAATTATTAGCCATTAATTCAGATTTACTTTTTTTTGTACCTGTTTGGGATGAGGCTGCTTGGTCGGCGTCATGGCTGCCGCCACCCTCCTCCTCCTCGTCGTCGTGGCTCTCCGGAATTGCTTCCTCCACATCGTCGTCCTCGTCCTCGAGCTCTTCTTCGTCAATGGTCCTCGGTTGGTCTTGAAAAAAGCGGGAATTATGTCGGTGCAATTCTTGTTCTAGTTGTTCGTCGGTCATCGCATCCCCATCCCTCCTTACGTAACCCGTATCAAAATCATCTTGACTTTGAGATGAAGAGCCGAGATGTGATTTACCTTTGCGGGATCTCTTCCTCGCAAGCTCGTTCGTTCGGTTGCGCTCGAGGTTACCCATATCAACCGAATATCTAGGACGATCCATCTAAAAAATGTAGCAATTAATAAAAAATTGTAAAAAACTAATTAACTATTTATCTAACTATTAATTCGAGTTATAGCAAATTAAGTAGTGAATTAACTAGTTTTGTGTACAACATATTTTTTAAACTAGAGTCAAATGTAGCAATTAATAAAAAATTGTAAAAAACTAATTAACTATTTATCTAACTATTAATTCGAGTTATAGCAAATTAAGTAGTGAATTAACTAGTTTTGTGTACAACATATTTTTTAAACTAGAGTCAAATGTAGCAATTAATAAAAAATTGTAAAAAACTAATTAACTATTTATCTAACTATTAATTCGAGTTATAGCAAATTAAGTAGTGAATTAACTAGTTTTGTGTACAACATATTTTTTAAACTAATTAAACAAGTGTAAATAATAGAATAATTTCGTACCTCTTTCGGTCTTTCGGTCTTTCGGATGGGAGTAATAGAATGACTTCAAATTAATTAGATATAATTCCAACTATATTAATAGATATAATAAATATATAAGTAATATATAATTAGATAACAAATATAAGTAATATAATACTATTTATATCTATTTATAGTTTATATAAGTAGATAATTAATATAAACTTTAAATAATAAATATAATATATTGGAGAATGGAGAATAAGAGAATTAGAGAGTAGAGAGTTAAGAATAGGATTTAGGAAGAATTGGAGAAGAGATGAAAAAATGTTTAAGATTAGGAGTATTTATAGGTTTTTTTACCCCCCACCCCCCCCCCCCCCACCCCACCCCCCACCACCCAACCCCCCCGAACCCACCCTTTACCCCACCCAACGGCTATATAGCCGTTTGGGTTGTCCCCAGCCCCACCCCCAACGGCTAGTAGGAGCCCAAATTAAAAAAAAAAAAATTAATTGAACCGGACCCGGGCTCGACCCGGCCGGGCCGGTCACACAAATGCTGAACCGAGCCCGCCCCGCCCCTTCCCCCCGGTTCGGGCCCAGACCCGGTCCCGGACCGCCCGACCGGGCCGGTCCCGGGCCCGCACAGTACCGCGCCGGGCCGGGTCACGGGCCGGGTGGCCCGAACCGAATCCAACACTACCCCGAATATCCGATTCAAACCGACCGGAATCCGAAATTGGGCAACCCGAACAGCCCTACATTTTTATAGAACAGGGTAGGGTTTTAAATTCCTAACCCGAAAACCGACCGGGTATGCCAAATCTTCACCCGTCCTACCCGAACCCGTCTGACGCTCTCCCCTACATAACATATGTACGTTCATCACCAAGGTCTTCAATGGGTTAGGTGATATCTACACACGTGACTAATCACAACCCAACAATATAAATATAGTTGGTAGAGATCATGTGTTTTTTCAATCCTTTTCACTTGGGAATTTGACAACACCCCGTGGCCCATGGTTGAGTTAGGAAGGGGCTAGAGGGTTCTTGGACTCCTCCCAAAAAAATATTGCAGTATTCGTACGGTACATTTCAAAAATTAACGGGTTTTCGGTACCCAACTTTTTAAATCAATAGAAATATGCCACATCAGTTGCCTTAATTATTTGTTTTTTTGCAGACTGGAAATTTAATTACTACGGGGTATCATTAATGAAGTCATGACTTAAAGCTTGCACAATACAACTAGGAAGAATCGAGACCCACACATGGCTGTCAGACAGAGAAACAACTACTTAGGGACGGACTGGTTCCGGTTCGGGCCCGATTCGGGCCTGGTCCCAGTTCGGGCCTCGGTTCATGAAGGGGAGGCCCGGAACCAGCCCGGGTAAACCCTGGGTCCGGGCCGGGCTGGACCGGGCCTCGGTTCTAATTTTTTTTTTTTTGACTTTTCCTAGTTAACCCCCAACAACTCTCCCCCTCACCCCCAAACCAACCCTAACCACCTCAAATGGCCCAAAATACCCAGTCCAACCCAAAAACTTAAAAAAATTAAAAAAAAAATGGCCCGGCCCGGGCCCGAACCGGCCGGGCCGGTTCACCTTTTGAAGGGCCCGAGCCCGAACCGCCATCCCACCGGGCCGGGTGGCCCGAACCGGCCAACCAACCGGTTCGGGCCCGCACAGTAGCGGGCCGGTCCAGTTCCGGGCCGGTTGGCCCGACCCGAGTCCACCCCTACAACTACTTGAGCAAGATTGTGAACAACCCGATTCGCAGACCGCCGCACAAAAGCATTAGAAATGCCGTTAAACTTCTTCATTAAATCTCTAACCTCTTCCACTATCAAACCAAATTGAGCAATACCACCTCCATTTTAGATAACAGAAACAATGGTTCTCCTTCAGCCAGCTCAACACCTCCCTCACCCCCAAAATCTCTGCTTCCTTGGGTGATATATTCCCAATAAATCCTCTCCCAAGGCTTTGATATTTTATTTGTTGTACAGTTCTGGTTTAAATAATTAAGAGAACACCACCAAACAGAGTCACAGATAATATTCATCCTGAGTTTCATCTGCCTGCAGGTGAAAGAACTTTTCAAGGAGGCGAATCAATTTGTCCTGACCATTAATCTGTTGCATATCAAAATCCACCTCAAAATGTTACGTAGTATTTATTAGATGTCCTCTGCTACTAGAGATTTACGGGTAGAAATCGTTGTGATTACTCATTACTTGTTCAATTCCTAGAAGTGACTTGAAACAGAGATTTGCAGTAAAAGCATTTTTAAGAATTGATGAAGATCGTTGATCTACCGAAAAGCTATCCGATCATTAAACCTTTGGCTCTGCCAGTGCAACACCCCAATCCAGAAAAGTAGATGACTAAATAAAGTATGTATCGACCGAAGAGATCTGAAAGATTATTCTACACGACAAATACAGGCCGCAGTGCAACATCGCAGCAGGTGCACATAAAACTGCACTCAAGACTAAACACTTGTAGCTATGACATATATCTATACAAACAAACTAATGAGACAAGAGAAGAGCTCCATCCCTACTCTCGAGATTGGTTTCCAGGTTCGATAAGAGCTTCTCTGGCAGAGGAGCCATTTCCGGAAGCTCTGTCCTTCCAGATGCTATTGACTTCCTTGAACGTCAGGCCATTGGTCTCGGGCACAAAAGTCACCACAAACCCAAAGGCTGCAACAGCCATACCAGCAAATATCAAGAAAGTGCCACCTGTGCCTATGGCATCGACCAATGACAGAAAACTCTCTGTCACTATGATATTGGATATCCAGTTCACAGTGGCCGACATTCCGCCGCATATCCCTCGGTATGCTTCAGGATATATCTCTGAGCTCATTGTCCAAGGCACGGTGCCCATCCCGGGCGAAAAGAAGGCAATGTAAAGAACCAAACCTATAACTGCAACCCATCCATACACCCCGTTGGCCGTGCTAGATGACGGGTCTAAGATTATGAATGATCCCGCAAGAAGAACAAGGGAAACTATCACGCCAGATAAACTTGTCAGGACTAACTTTTTGCGACCGATATAGTCGATGAGGTAAATTCCCAGGACGGTCCCCATGGCATTCATAAATGCCACGATCGTTGAGATAAGTAACGCTAATTGGTTTGAATGGAAGCCAGCCATTTGCACTATTGCTGGGCTATAGTACATCACTGTATTGATGCCAGTTAACTGCTGGAATGCCTGCGATAAATCCATATTGCCCGTTTACTGGAGATTACTTATATATTTCAAAATATTCAGAGTATATTAACATGAGGTGTCAAATAAAGTACCTGTAGTCCAGCTCCAGCAAAAAATGCAAGTCTAAGTTCTTTTGATCTGAGAATATCTGTGTATCTGACAGCATTCTTTTTAAAAGTTTCTTCCTCTAAGGCAGTAGCTAGCAGAACAATCTCCTCCTCCAAGCGATAAGGATCATAGATTTTGGAAAGAACAACTGTAGCTTCTGATTTATCACTCTGAAAAAGGGTTTGATTTGGTTTGTGTATTACTAGAGGATTGGTACACAACAAAAGAAAAAATGAAGAAGTTGTTAAAATGGCAATTCACATTATCCTAGTATTTTGCACCTTCATGTAGAGCCACCGTGGAGACTCGGGCATGAATAGCATTAGACAGAACTGTATAATAGCTGGCACAGCAGATACTCCAAGCATCCATCTCCATGTCCCGGGGACCTGCTCGAGGATTTACAAAGGACAAATGTTCAATATCCATGCCAGATCATTACATATGACAAATTTTAACTAACAAGAGCAATTGGATAAGCAGTAAAAAGATTGGTCAGATGTATAATATAAAGTCACAAACCAAATGATTACTCCGTATTATATAACAAAAATTGAAACAAAAATCGTTATGGCAATTATTGGATAATAACGTAAAACCATAGCTTCATCATCAAATAACATAAACATACTTTAAGGTACAATAAGGAACATATTGTCGTGAGCCAGCCATTGCTTGGACAAAAAAATATTACATCTGCCCAAATTATTCACACTACCTTCCACCTTTGGATGTCTTCCTTATCTACTTCAAGATGTTTACTATTATCTTCAAATTTTACAAGCTTCAAAAAAAATCTTGACCCCCAGTGACCAGGTCTTCACAGAAACAACATCTCAATTCTTCGGGTAGAAATAAGGTCTGCATTCAGATCACCTTCCCCATATCCTACTTTAACTACCTAGTGAGACTTGCTGGTTTGTTTGGTTTGGTTTCCATTTTAGCCATTTACAATGTCCATTCTCCTAATTTGACCACTAGCAACTTTTATAGATTTTCTAATTCACTTACTCTTAGAGGTAGACATAAGGTTCACATGCATCTCACCCCCTCGGCCCTCGGCAGACCCTACTTCCTAATTATGCATGGGACTTATTGCAGCTTGTTTGGTGTCCTCCCACTTTTAGCTTGTCACGTTTTAACTTTCCTAATTTGAACACCACTAGTTTTTCTGCACATCCCTAGTTTTTCTGCATACCCCACCAATAATATTTAGTTTTCCTGATTAACCATTTTTTTCTTTTGTTTACGTTAGTCCATGCTGAAAGATAATTATGAAGTGGAACCTAAATTAATTGTTTGGTTAAAAAACAAAATAAAAAGTTGTCAAAGTATAGCAATATCCATACTGTCAAATTAATTACAATCTCATGAAATCCTTGCATGCAACAGTTCTCACTTTTTCGAATTCATATGCAGAATAAGTAAATTTTATAATCACCACAGTCAAGATATCCAAAAGCCTTCAATTTCAAATCACAATATGATTTGCAGAAAGAATTTGTTGATTTTGTTATAACACTGAGCATAAAACACAGTTGCAAACAAAGCTGATATCTTTAAAATGCCATGAAGAGCACAGCGCATAAGGACAAAGTAACACTTCCAACGTCTACTAGATAAAAAAATTACTCAAAATTTGTAAGGTAAACTAATATTTGCAATGCCCTTTCATGAGTACATAGTTGAGTTGAAGACTTGAAGCTAACCACGACATGAGTACATGACAAAAATAGTTAGGCTAAACTAATATTTCGGGAGATATTGTAGATATACTTAAAGGAGATAACAAAACAGAGGGACGTTGAGAATATTATAGAAGCATAATCCAGATACAAAAAGAAAAAAATAATTATTGTTGATTCTCTGTTTTTCAAGGTTTCACGCTGAAGTGTTTAAACATTAAATATTCAGTTTCTGATATGCATCTGTTTGACAACCTAAGGAACGCTGTTCCACATCCTAGAAAAAAACAATTTCAGAAACATACGTTCATTTAAGAGATTGCTGCAGCCTGCAACTACTCAACAGGGGGGGAAATGCAAGATCCAGATTTCTACCATGCCATAAAAAACTACGTGTAAATTGAACAACACACTACATACTTAGGGATGAAATCCAAAAATATTTGAATCGACAGACAGGTGGACAACATGGGACAAAAGAAAACCTCTCACTTGAAGAAAGTTCATGAATAGCAACAGCAAGCCCTAGTTCTAAACATATACATGCATCTACTTATGGATGAAAACATTTAAAAAAAATAAAATCAAATGAAAAGAAGTTACATATCTCTGAAAATTGTTCATTATTACACTTACAGATGCAAATAGAATTTATAGGCAATTGGAAAGTAAATGATCATGTTCAATGCAAAAGCCAGTAAAGATAACATTACTTGAAAGCAATAGAGAAATATAAGTTGGTGCCAAATCAGAACTAGTATAGGCAGGAAAGAAAAGAACAATTTCCTTCACTGATTTATTCACTGCGAAAACTATAATGCAGACCCATAAATCTATCTTGATGCTGGTTCTTCAGAGCTGCACAGTGAAAAACCCTTCATGCAAAGAAAGCAGTGTGATAAAGAATAACTAAATACAGCATAGGCCAAGACATAATTATAGCAGCAAAAAGATGCGGCAAGATTAACAAGCTAATTCTATTAAAATTGACCAGATAGTCTTACTCACCATAACTTCAACATGAGAAAGAAAACTACTACTTGGGCCCATGCATCCTGATGTCTAAATGAATCAGGCACTGTCAAGGCAATCAAAAACTTGTTTATGGCAGTATATTCCACACTCTTAGTTTGTCTATTTCAATCATATTCAAATCAAATGCAAATGATTCGTAATGATGGAATTTATGATCACCTCTGTGTGTTCGATTCACATCTGGTATTCGGGTTCAAATCCATCCTTTTTGGTTGATTTGGGACTCCAAGAACTTGGGATCCCAGTTTTTTACACACAAGATGGCATAAGCAAAAATGAGTAAAATGATTTAAAGATTTATCACAGTTTGACTATTGAAGCTCACAAAAGTTTAAGAAATCTCAAACTCATTTATAAGAATGAAAATAATAAGAAGATAAGTGATAACAGTTGAATTTTAGAGAAATCAAGAACATCTGACCTCAGTGAAAGCAAGATTGACAAGGTAGGAAATAAACTGTCCACCAGTAATCATGAGTGCATTGGTGCTCACAAGTCCTCCCCGAATTTCAGATGGTGATGCTTCAGCAATATATACAGGAGCAGTGACAGATGCCACGCCAACCCCAAGACCAACTAAAAGTCTTCCAAGTATAAGGACATAAGGACCTGGAGCTGCAGCCATAACAATAGCTCCCAGTGTGAAAACAACATCAGCTGAAAGGGTAGCTTTTTTCCGTCCATAAGCATCATTAATCCAGCCTCCCGCAGCAGCTCCAATCATGGCTCCAACCAAAGCCATGCTGACAATAGTTTCCTACCAAAACATAGATAGTTGTAGTATGTAAATATATACTGAAAAAAATGAAACAGCTTCACAAGTATTGTTGTGATATTGTGCATGCATTATTCTGATATTTTCTGCAATGTGGGGCACAGAGTGAGAGGGTTGAGATAGATAGACGACTATAATTTTTGGTACAATAAAAGTTGGGACTCTAGTCTTCAACTTCAAATTTATAAAAAAGTTGCACATGTGAATATATGAAGTGGTTTCCCGTTTCCCATTTCCCAATGCTCAATTTGATAGGATAGTGAGAACCCTTCTAAATCGCCTCACAGTATTTTTATGATTGGGCATTCCTAGATCCACCATTTCATTCATGCTAGAAAAAGATTAAGTAAAGAATGGAGACAACGGAAAGAATAGAATATGAATGCAGCTTCATACGAGGAATGCGTGGTTAGGTTGTTTTTAAATTTTAAAGAAAGAAAAGAAACATATTTGTATTATGCCCAAATACTTTTGAGTTTTGACCCAAAAAGATATGTATAAATTTATAAATGAAAAAATGGCTACATCTACATCTAGCCATCATTCTATGATTGTTAATGATGGCTAGATCTAGTCGACTAGTCATTACTCTCCCAGCAATGAAATTGGTCAGAAAAAAAAATACAAGAGAACGCCGTTGATTTAGAACATATCTTCTTAGAAAAAAGGATTTGAGTTCTTTTCGTAAATGGGACTATAATTTGGTAAAGCTAGCCAGTACTGCTGTCTAAGCACATTCAGTCATTCTCCGATAACGTTTGCTCAACCGAAATAATGTGTCACCAACGCAGCACCCTTAATTTTCAAAATTAAAATACATCTTGTGATCAATCAGTTACAATAAAAGTTAGCCATTCCATGATCTTCTCTTACTCAAGTTCTTTGCAGATAAAGTTATTTCAATTCAAAGCACTATGTTGTAAGCTCACTGGGATAAGAACTAGATAAAGTACAAGCAAAAAAAATCTATAATACCTGGAGGAAACTGCTTTGATTCACCTCCTCAAATTCATCTTTAATGTACAAAAGTGCACCAGAAATTACTCCTGCAAACAACTCAGTCCATTAGAAGCACTGAAAAATTTGATTGTGTGCACTCTAGCTCTTTAAATTTCAATCTCATACAGTAGTATAGTGTAAATAAAGGCTTTAGAAAATAGCACTTTGTTTGATCAAAACAGGGACACAAAAAGGGCGGAAGGGATAGCCTCAGCCAACATTTGACAGCAACAGATAAGGAAATCCAATCTCTATGTCACTATGTAGACCAGAGCAAGCATTCAATAGCTGCTAATATAAGAATAATAACGTATTGTGCACACTAATGTTATCAGGTATGTGATTCCCAATTATGAGTTTATCATTTAATAAAAATTAAATACCGACAATTAGAATTTATATTATGGTCAATGCCCCCAGCCCCGTAGCCCCGTAGCCCCTTCCCTGCAAGGCTGCAACTCTACCTCACAGGTAACATAGGGAAGAAATATAAGTGTTTTTGTTATTAATTTAATCATTATTCGTTATAATGTCTAAGAAATATCAGATAAAAAATACAAGCACAACAGCAATTTCTCAATTGCAATAGCTTTGTTAAACCCAATTTAGAATAAGAGAATCATATGTGTCTCCTTAAAACTACTCTTAATTATGAAGTTATATAGACTAACTTGTACTCCATCAAACTCATTTTTATAGTTATGGACCCTGTTATATATATAAGAGAAAAGGGGCAAGTAAGCCCTCGAACTATTTATGATTCCATAATAAGGCTCCTGAGACGAAAGACTTGCAAATACATCCCTCAACTTAATTGAGAGTTAAGCATCGAGTCCTTTTTAGTTTTTACCTGCGGGTGCCGGTAAATTCCCATAAGAAAATTATCTCCTTACCTGCACTAGCACGTAAAAAAGAATCACGTAAAAAAGAATCTGATTGCTTAATTTTCAACGAGTTGAGAGTGTATTTGTAAGTCTTCTGGTTCAAGGCCCAATTGCGGAATTACTAATATTTCGAGAGCTTATTTGACCCTTTTCTCTAAAAATAAATGGGGTGAAACTTTATCTTGGTACAACACACGGAGGAGAAGGGAAATAAGTGGTTTTTATTTTTGGGACGATGTGAATATTCTCCCATCCCCCACAAAACTCAAATCTCTTGTGAAGTATTACAAGTACTGTTAACTTGTTATACTCGTAGTATTTGATAGGGAGACAACAATAGGAGCATAAAGTTTAAGTTCTTAAAATAGGACTAACTCTTCCTATCTTACCCTTTCCATTGTCATGCTTAATAGTAGGTTTTAAATGATAATAATAATAATAAAACATAAAAAATAAAAATAAAAAGTAAAAAGTAAATAGAAAATATACAAACCTCAACCAACACCTCAGCCATCTTACATCACCGCCACCTCTAGTTTCCGGGGAAAAAATGCCAACTTGGGGAAAAACCCATCGTGATGGCAGTTTTGAAAACAAAATTGGATATTTTTAAATAGTAAAACAACATTTTCATGACATTTTCAGGGGGAATGTGGCATTTTTTTACACAAAATGGCATTTTTTCTGACAATCGGAGCTGGTGATGTTGGGAGGTTGAGGATGTGGCGGCACATGCCTGCTTTTGTTTTAATTTTTTTAGTTATTTTTAATTTTTTAAAGTTTTTAATTATTATTATTATTTTCCTTTTTATTATTAATTTATAGATATTTTTATATTTTATATTTTTATTATAAATAAAACTATGAATTTCTTATTACTACCTCCGTCCCACAAAATTCTTCCCACTTTGACTTGGCCCGGATATTAAGAAAGTGGAATAAAGTGGAAATGTGTGGTTGTGGTTGTGTAAGAAAAAGGTGAAATGAATGTGAACCACACAAATTGTCCAAAAATGGTAAGTGAGAAGAATTTTTTGGGATGACCCAAAAAGAAAAGTGGGAAGAATTTTATGGGACGAAGGGAGTAATGAAATAAATCTATTAGAAATTATAGGAAGGGGTAGAATAGGAAGAAGGGATATATATATGTTACTCTTATTTTGGGAATAAATAATTTATAATTCTATTGTTGCATTTAGGACTATTTTAGTCCTACTGAGGGCTACAAAATTATAATATTAATAGAAATTCAAGCATTTCAGACAAAATTTTATCAATTTCAGTATATTCGGTCAAATTCAATGTTCCCAAACGGGCAATGTGAAACGGTATGTAAAGTTAAAATGTGGTGGAAATTACCCGCATAGTCCACTTTTGTGGCATAATATCATTTATGTCCTTATGACTTTCTCTTTTCAGATTTAACTTTTATGTTTTCACTTTAAATTTTTTAATTTCACTTTTATACAATTCTGCTGGCTTCTCCATCGATACATACGTTAAAACCTCCTCCGCCCTCTCCTCTCATGCTATGTGACTTCAGTCTCCGAATTCATGAGAGTTATCATCTTACAATCTGAGTTTCTGAATTCATGAGAGTTATCATCCACATCACGATGGATGGAGTTCAATTCTCGTCAGAGTGTTCTTCCAAACTGTTCTTGCTGGAGCGGATGGCGCATCACCTGGAGAAAGGAAGGTCGCATCTCAGCTTCAAGAGGCTACGATCGGAGCTTTGGGTACACACTTTCCAGGATCGATCAATCCCTTATCTCAACAATCAAACAAAAACAACATCATCCAGGCCTTAGTCCCAAAAGATACCGGGTCAGCTAACACGATACATGATATCACAACCAAAAGGAAAACTAAGAATAAAGATAAAAAAGATAAGCTATTATAAAAAGATAATATAAAAAGAGATGAATATACATAAAAATGATAAAATAAAAAGGCTACAAATAATGCTTATATATATATAAGGATAAAAAACAAGGAAAAAAAGATGAGGGAAAAAGATTATACGAGATTACTCCTTCACGCGAATACTCGCCCTCCACTTAGTTCTCTCCAAAGTCGGCACCTCATCCAACCCCAGAAGAAGCATATCACTTCGAACTCCCCTAACTCACGTCTGTTTGGGTCTTCCTCTCCCTCTCTTCCCTGCCTCTTCTCCACACATCTCAACTCTTCTGACAGGTGCATCACTCGGTCTTCTACGCACATGACCAAACCACCGTAGGCGTGACTCCCGCATCTTGTCTTCAATAGGTGCTACTCCCACCCTTTGTCTGATTGTCTCATTCCTCACGCGGTCCTTCCTAGTATGCGCCTCTGCCACACTCATCTTTTGAATGTGACATTTTTTCACCGTCCAACACTCTACGCCATACAGTAATGCAGGCCTAATTGTTGTCCTATAAAATTTACCTTTTAGTCTAGTCAGCATACCTCGGTCGCATAGAAATTCTGACGCACTCTTCCACTTCATCCACCCTGTTCTGATTCTATGAGATACATCTCCATCTAACTCACCGTCCTTCTTAATTATGGAGCCCAAGTAACGGAGCATATCGCTGACTGGTATCTCCTTACCATCCAGAGTAATTCCGTTATTACCACTGCTTCTACCTCCACCAAACTTGCACTCCATGTACTCTGTCTTGCTCCGACTTAGTTTGAAACCCTTATTCTCCGATGTTTGTCGCCATACTTCCAACTTTGCTTTCAGACCTGATTGCGTCTCATCAATCAATACAATATCGTCGTCAAACATCATGCACCACGGTATATCGTCTTGAATTAACTTCGTAAGTTCATCCATGACTATGGCAAATAAGAAAGGGCTCAAGGCTGATCCTTGGTGCACTCCGATAGTAATAGGGAACTCTTCAATCCTCCCTACACTAGTACGGACACTTGTAGTACAATCCTCATACATATCCATGATGATGCTGATATACTTGCGTGATATGCCTTTCCTAGTTAAGGCCCACCAAAGAACTTCTCGAGGTACCCTATAATATGCCTTTTCTAAGTCAATGAACACCAAATGCAGATCCTTATGAGCGTCTCTATACTTCTCCATAAGTTGCCGAAGAAGGTGAATGACCTCAGTTGTTGAGCGACCAGGCATAAAACCGAATTGATTCTCTGAAATCTTCACAATCCTTCGAAGTCTTTGCTCAATCACTCGCTCCCAAAGTTTCATGGTGTGACTCATAAGCTTAATCCCTCGATAGTTGGCACATTCTTGTACATCACCTTTATTCTTAAATAAAGGGATAAGAGTACTCTTCCTCCAACTCGTTGGCATCTTGTTGTTTCTCCAAATCATGTTGAAGAAACTTGTTAACCACTCGACGCCTCTCTCTCCCAAACTTCTCCAAGCCTCGATCGGTATGCCATCTGGCCCCATTGCTCTTTTCCGTCCCATCTTCCTCAGAGCTTCTTTAACTTCCGTTGTTTGGATCCTTCTCACAAAATCATGATTTACCATACAATCTGGTATGGACAAATCACCAATATCTTGCGTTTTGTTCCCGTTGAATAGTGTATCAAAGTATGACCTCCACCTCTCTTTTATCTCTCCGTCGTCCATTAATATCCTCTTATCGACATCCTTCACACACTTAACTTTTGTAATATCTTGAGTCCTGCGATCACGAAGACGAGCAAGTCTATAAATATCTAGTTCTCCTTCCTTAGAGTCCTACTTTTCATACAACTCCTTGTTCACTTTCCCTCGAGCTTCCCTTACGGCTTTCTTTGCTTGTCTTTTAGCCTCCTTGTATGCTTCTATGTTCTCATCAGTCATCATTCCAACTTGTCCCCAACTTTTTGTAGCAATCTATTTTGTTCCTTATGGCTTGTTTCACCTCATCATTCCACCAAGATGTGTCTTTTTTAGGTGGCAGACATACTTTAGATTCTCCAAGTACCTCCTTTTCCACTTTGTTAATGGTCAACTCCATTGATAACCACACATCATCCACATGTGTTTCATTATCAATACGCCATACATCTTCACCGACCATTTTGTGTGTAAAGCTTTGTTGAAGATCTCCCTCAAGCCTCCACCACTTTATCTTTGGCTCCACTTGTTGTTTAACTTGTCTTCTATGGTTCTTACCTCGAAAGTCAAGCACAAGCATCCTATGCTG